CAAAATTAAGATGAATTTATCCGGATGCTACTTCAAAATTAAGATGAATTCAGGTAAACCTTGATTTTTAAGTAATTAGGAGGTTGAAGCTTATCACTCACTCATACCCTACAGTAGCACCCCCAAGTCTAAGTATACTAAGACATGAAATTTCCTAGATACCACTCAAGAAATAGGAACTAAGGATAAGGCTAAAAAATAATAACTAAGGACAAGGACAAGAACAAAAACAAAGAATAAGTGTTGGACCCTAGCACACCTTAAGGACACGATTAAGGGTCAGCCTACAAGTAGGTTACTTACTAAATCTTTATATTCTCTCCATATTTTCCAAGTAACTAAGAAGCTGATTGAGGTCAGTAACGAACTCTGGAGTAGGTGTCATAGACAAGCTTCACCCTTCGTCCCCAACACAGTTTTGTTTTAAATTTTGTGTTTGTTCCTTATTTTGTATCTAAAACTACTATTTTAATATAATATAAATATATTGTATATTATGTTTTAAATTGTTTTTTTTTTTTACTTTGCGTTTGTCCATCTTTTCTACACTATCGATTCAACCCTAGTTGTGATCCATGCTTTGAGTAAACTCGAAAACTGAGTGTTGACATCGATGTCTTTGTAAAGGAGACTTAAAAACGTACTAAAGCGAGCAAATATGCTTTTGCAATTATATGTAGTTTAGGTTTAATGTTTATAATAATTCAAGTTTGACATGATCGAATTTACTTGTGAAATTATTTGAATCTCAAACAAGTATTTTTTTATTTATTATCCTAGATTGAATTCAATATTATTGATTCATCAATATAATGATAATTCAAATCTTAATTTCCCTTTCTCTCCTCCATCTCTCTCTCCTACCTACCTATTACTGAAATAGAAAATTGAAATTAAAAAGTTATAAATAAATTTGATAGAATTTACTTCCACGGCTTCCCATAAATATTACCTACTTAGGACATTCCATTCTTTGCCATTTCCTTCCACCGACTATCTACCCACACGAATTATTACAATAAAAACACACCAAAATTCTATTTAAAAGTTTTCTTACTACCATTATGTTCGATGATAATAAATGTTAAAATAAATTTAACACTCACGTCGCCAACATGAATTCAAAATTAAAATATTTCTTACTACCATTGTGTTTGATGATAATAAGTGTTAAAAATAATTCATCAATAAATTTAACACACACGTAGCCAACATAAATACCAAATCGCCTACTACTAAAACAACAATTCTATCTATCATTTTCTACAACAAAAACATGTTAAATCAGATGACTAAGCTAAAACAGGGTAAATCAAATGAATTGGTCCAGGCCTAAACACAACCCAATTCAATAGAACCGAACGAATTGATTAGGGCCTGAAGATAGCCCAATTCATTAGAACCCAACGAATTGGGTCGGGCAATCTACAAGTAGGTTACTTATAAGTTTTTATATTCACTCCATGTTTTCCAGATAAGTAAGAAGCTGATTGATGTTAGTGGTGAACTCTCGAGTGGGTGTCATAGACAAGCTTCACCTTTTGTCCCAACACAATTTTGTTTTAAATTTTGTGTTTCTAAAACTACTTATGCCTTAACTCTATTTTAATATAATATAAATATGTTGTATATTATGTTTTAAATTGTTTTTTTTTTTTTAATTTTGCGAAAGTTTGTCCATCTTTTCTACACTATCGATTCAACCGTAGCCATGATCCATGCTTTGGGTAAACTCGAAAATTGAGTGTTGACATCGATGTCTTTGTAAAGTAGACTTGAAAACGTACTAAAAAGTAGGGGTGTGCATGGTCTGGGTTGGGTTGAGGGATTTTTTTGACCCAACTCAAAAGTTCGGGTTTGTTAGATTGGCAACCCAACCCAATCCAAAAATTTTCACAACCCAACCCAACTCTCTATTTTCGGGTTGGGTTTGGGTTGTTAAAAAAATTATTTTTAAAAAAAAGTTTTATTTATCCACGATTTATAATTATTCGGATACAATCTTAAATAAAATATAATTAAATGTTCACAAATAAACACATAATTATTCAAAAAAAAATGAAAAAAATGAAAAAACAAATTCAATCCAGAACAAGCAAAAATGATAACATATTAACATAAATGATAACATATTAACATAGTTCATAGTTCAATATTGTCATCAAACTAAAGACAACTAAATATACTTGTTGAGAATGGGTTAAAGTAGGAAAAATATAAGGATAGATCATGGAATATATATAAATGGTGATAAATTGTGATATAATAATGTTGCAATAAATAGATAAAAAATACATTATAATTATTTGTCTCAATTTTATAAAAAAATTTAAATCAATTGTGTTAAACAAACACGACTCTCCATAATGGTATGATATTGTCCACTTTGAGTGTAACTATTGGCACGACTACGTTTAGGGCATGGCTCTGATACCATGCTACACGAACACGACTCTCCACAATGGTATGATATTGTCCACTTTGAACATAAGCTCTCATAGCTTTGTTTTGGGTTTCCCCAAAAGGCCTCATAATAATGGAGTTAGTATTCCTCACTTATAAACTCATGATCATTCCCTAAATTAGCCGATGTGGGATTTCCATCATCCAACAAATTGAAACTAATTTTTTATCGATCTAATTTTGTGTCCACTATTTTAGATGTTAAAAAATTCATAAAATAATAAAAAAAAATTCTCTCATTCGTATTCCATGTTGATTCAAAAGCCATAATATACCATAAAAAAGATGATGGATGGAAAGTAAAAATTATATGTTAAGTATTAATTTATTCATATTATAAATAATGTATAATTAATAAACTTATCCTAAATTAGAATAGCTATATTAATTTATTCGTATTACCTGTTAAATACGTTAGAATAGTTATATGTTAATTTATTCATATTATAAATAATGCACTTTAAAATAGTATGAAATATTGATGTATTTTAAAAATATTTAAAAGAATTAATAATATAAAAGAAATTAATATATTAATAAACTTATTATATGTTAATTTATTCATAATTAATAAGCCTATCCTAAATTAAAATAGTTATATGTTAATTATTCATATTTATTTATATTACAGATAATATGTTTATAATTAATAAATCTATTCTAAATTATATTCTTAAATTAAATGATGGTTTGTTAAATACGTTAGAATAGTTATATGTTAATTTATTTATATTATAAATAATGGGTTTATAATTAATAAACTTATCCTAAATTAGAAGAGCTATACGTTAATTTATTCATATTATAAAAAATATGTTTATAATTAATAAACCTATCTTAAATTATATTCTTAAATTAACTGATTATTTGTTAAATATATTAGAATATTTATATGTTAATTTGTTTATATTATAATAATGGGTGTATAATTAATAAACCTATCTTAAATTAGAATAGTTATATGTTAATTTATTCATCATTATTTATAATTAATAAACCTATCCTAAATTATATTCGTAAATTAAACGATTGTGTGTTAAATACGTTACAATAGTTATATGTTAATTTATTCATATTATAAATAATGTGTTTTAAAATAGAATGAAATATTAAGTTATTTTAAAAATATTTAAAAGAATTAATAATATAAAAGAAATTAATATATTTGATTGGCAACTAGGGTGTGACAGTTGTAAGATAGGACGAAGTACCACTCTCGCAAATTCATCATTAATGTAGACTTTTTAGTATATTTTATATATTTGTATTTGGCTTAGGTCAATTCGAGGGTTTTGCCCATGAACCTAAAAACCGAACCGAGTCAGTTTGGGATCAAAAAAATGAACCCAAACCAACCCGAAAAGCTAACCCAACCCAACCTAACTTTTATAGTTCGGGTTAGATTGGTCCAGGTTGTCGGGTTGAATGTACACCCCAACTAAAAAGAGCATATATGCTTTTGCAATTATATGTAGTTTAAGTTTAATGTTTATAATAATTCAAATTTGACATGACCAAATTTACTTGTGAAGTTATTTGAATCTCAAATAAATAGTTTTGAATCTCAAACAAATAGTTTTTTGCCCTGATATATTTGATCAATTAGGTAATTCAAATCTTACTTGATCAAATAGGTAATTCAAATCTTACTTAGGTAATTCAAATCTTACTTTTCCTTTGAGTGATTTATTATCCTAGATTGAATTCATTTTTAATAATATATTATTGATTCATCAATGTTATAATGAAAATAAATTTTAAAAGAGCGTTGAAATTGAAATTGGATATAGAAGGAAAGTTAGAGTCAACTAATTATTTTTCCCATCTAATAATTAAGTTATATTTAGATATAGAAAGAAAGTTATAGTAAAGGAAAGTTATAGTAAAGGAAAGTTATATTTGATTATAAGTTTTAAAGAAAAAAAAGTAATGGAAGTAGAGAAAGAAAAGTTGGAAACTTTATCATAGAGAATTTATTAAAAAATAAATGCACATCTTTGTAAAATTAGAAAATATATATGGTTTAACAACGCAATTTGAATAAAATATTTCAACTAATAAGGTAATTTATTTATTAAGAAATCCATTTTTTTAAAATTAGGACAATAAGATTAAAAAGGTAATTTGTACATAAAAATTTGAGTATTCATGACCTCTAAGATGGTGGCATCATTGAATTAGAATATCATTTTAGAAGAACAATATAATTATGTATGGTAAGTTAATATTGATATTTACACCAAAGCTATTATTACTTGTTCTTGTTTTAACAAGCCACAATATTTATAGGGTTGAGAGTTTCACTCAACTCAGGTCAACTCAGGGCAACTCAGGGTGAATACAAAATGGATGTACTTTCAAAAATTAACTTATTTCATGTTTTCTTCTTGTTTTCTTTTGTTTCTCTACTATCAAATCTAAAAGTTGTGGAAGCAAAGAGAGATGATAATAGCGATCAACTTATCTGGAGTATCAAAAGACTTGTTCATGGGGGGCCAAATAATGCTTTTCCTTTTGGGACTCCTCACAACATCGTCATGAAGTCAATAGTAAGAGATGTCATTACCAAGCTTGGTTTGGGTTCTAAGAGATTTGTTTCAGGGGGGCCAAATCAGATGTTCCCTCCTGAAACTCCTCTGCACAATCTTGGTTCCAAGAGACTTGTTCCGGGTGGGCCAAATCAGATGTTCCCTCCTAGAACTCCTCTGCACAACCTTGGTTCCAAGAGACTTGTTCCGGATGGGCCAAATCAGATGTTCCCTCCTGAAACTCCTCTGCACAACCTTGGTTCCAAGAGACTTGTTCCAGATGGGCCAAATCAGATGTTCCCTCCTGAAACTCCTCTGCACAACCTTGGTTCCAAGAGACTTGTTCCGGGTGGGCCAAATCAGATGTTCCCTCCTCGAACTCCTCTGCACAACCTTGGTTCCAAGAGATTTGTTCCGGATGGGCCAAATCAGATGTTCCCTCCTAGAACTCCTCTGCACAACCTTGGTTCCAAGAGACTTGTTCCGGATGGACCAAATCAGATGTTCCCTCCTGAAACTCCTCTGCACAACCTTGGTTCCAAGAGACTTGTTCCGGATGGGCCAAATCAGATGTTCCCTCCTGAAACTCCTCTGCACAACCTTGGTTCCAAGAGACTTGTTCCGGATGGGCCAAATCAGATGTTCCCTCCTGAAACTCCTCTGCACAACCTTGGTTCCAAGAGACTTGTTCCGGATGGGCCAAATCAGATGTTCCCTCCTGAAACTCCTCTGCACAACCTTGGTTCCAAGAGACTTGTTCCGGATGGGCCAAATCAGATGTTCCCTCCTGAAACTCCTCTGCACAACCTTGGTTCCAAGAGACTTGTTCCGGATGGGCCAAATCAGATGTTCCCTCCTGAAACTCCTCTGCACAACCTTGGTTCCAAGAGACTTGTTCCGGATGGGCCAAATCAGATGTTCCCTCCTGAAACTCCTCTGCACAACCTTGGTTCCAAGAGACTTGTTCCGGATGGGCCAAATCAGATGTTCCCTCCTGAAACTCCTCTGCACAACCTTGGTTCCAAGAGACTTGTTCCGGATGGGCCAAATCAGATGTTCCCTCCTGAAACTCCTCTGCACAACCTTGGTTCCAAGAGACTTGTTCCGGATGGGCCAAATCAGATGTTCCCTCCTGAAACTCCTCTGCACAACCTTGGTTCCAAGAGACTTGTTCCGGATGGGCCAAATCAGATGTTCCCTCCTGAAACTCCTCTGCACAACCTTGGTTCCAAGAGACTTGTTCCGGATGGGCCAAATCAGATGTTCCCTCCTGAAACTCCTCTGCACAACCTTGGTTCCAAGAGACTTGTTCCGGATGGGCCAAATCAGATGTTCCCTCCTGAAACTCCTCTGCACAACCTTGGTTCCAAGAGACTTGTTCCGGATGGGCCAAATCAGATGTTCCCTCCTGAAACTCCTCTGCACAACCTTGGTTCCAAGAGACTTGTTCCGGATGGGCCAAATCAGATGTTCCCTCCTGAAACTCCTCTGCACAACCTTGGTTCCAAGAGACTTGTTCCGGATGGGCCAAATCAGATGTTCCCTCCTGAAACTCCTCTGCACAACCTTGGTTCCAAGAGACTTGTTCCGGATGGGCCAAATCAGATGTTCCCTCCTGAAACTCCTCTGCACAACCTTGGTTCCAAGAGACTTGTTCCGGATGGGCCAAATCAGATGTTCCCTCCTGAAACTCCTCTGCACAACCTTGGTTCCAAGAGACTTGTTCCGGATGGGCCAAATCAGATGTTCCCTCCTGAAACTCCTCTGCACAACCTTGGTTCCAAGAGACTTGTTCCGGATGGGCCAAATCAGATGTTCCCTCCTGAAACTCCTCTGCACAACCTTGGTTCCAAGAGACTTGTTCCGGATGGGCCAAATCAGATGTTCCCTCCTGAAACTCCTCTGCACAACCTTGGTTCCAAGAGACTTGTTCCGGATGGGCCAAATCAGATGTTCCCTCCTGAAACTCCTCTGCACAACCTTGGTTCCAAGAGACTTGTTCCGGATGGGCCAAATCAGATGTTCCCTCCTGAAACTCCTCTGCACAACCTTGGTTCCAAGAGACTTGTTCCGGATGGGCCAAATCAGATGTTCCCTCCTGAAACTCCTCTGCACAACCTTGGTTCCAAGAGACTTGTTCCGGATGGGCCAAATCAGATGTTCCCTCCTGAAACTCCTCTGCACAACCTTGGTTCCAAGAGACTTGTTCCGGATGGGCCAAATCAGATGTTCCCTCCTGAAACTCCTCTGCACAACCTTGGTTCCAAGAGACTTGTTCCGGATGGGCCAAATCAGATGTTCCCTCCTGAAACTCCTCTGCACAACCTTGGTTCCAAGAGACTTGTTCCGGATGGGCCAAATCAGATGTTCCCTCCTGAAACTCCTCTGCACAACCTTGGTTCCAAGAGACTTGTTCCGGATGGGCCAAACCTTGGTTCCAAGAGACTTGTTCCGGGTGGGCCAAATCAGATGTTCTCTCCTGAAACTCCTCTGCACAACCTTGGTTCCAAGAGACTTGTTCCGGATGGGCCAAATCAGATGTTCCCTTCTGAAACTCCTCTGCACAACCTTGGTTCCAAGAGACTTGTTCCGGGTGGGCCAAATCAGATGTTCCCTCCTGAAACTCCTCTGCACAACCTTGGTTCCAAGAGACTTGTTCCGGATGGGCCAAATCAGATGTTCCCTCCTGAAACTCCTCTGCACAACCTTGGTTCCAAGAGACTTGTTCCGGATGGGCCAAATCAGATGTTCCCTCCTGAAACTCCTCTGCACAACCTTGGTTCCAAGAGACTTGTTCCGGATGGGCCAAATCAGATGTTCCCTCCTAGAACTCCTCTGCACAACCTTGGTTCCAAGAGACTTGTTCCGGATGGGCCAAATCAGATGTTCCCTCCTAGAACTCCTCTGCACAACCTTGGTTCCAAGAGATTTGTTCCAGATGAGCCAAATCAGATGTTCCCTCCTGAAACTCCTCTGCACAACCTTGGTTCCAAGAGACTTGTTCCGGATGAGCCAAATCAGATGTTCCCTCCTGAAACTCCTCTGCACAACCTTGGTTCCAAGAGACTTGTTCCGGATGGGCCAAATCAGATGTTCCCTCCTGAAACTCCTCTGCACAACCTTGGTTCCAAGAGACTTGTTCCGGATGGGCCAAATCAGATGTTCCCTCCTGAAACTCCTCTGCACAACCTTGGTTCCAAGAGACTTGTTCCGGATGGGCCAAATCAGATGTTCCCTCCTGAAACTCCTCTGCACAACCTTGGTTCCAAGAGACTTGTTCCGGATGGGCCAAATCAGATGTTCCCTCCTGAAACTCCTCTGCACAACCTTGGTTCCAAGAGACTCGTTCTGGGTGGGCCAAATCAGATGTTCCCTCCTGAAACGCACAAATTATATGTTCCCTCCTGAAACTTCTCCGCACAACCTTGGTTCTAAGAGACTTGTTCTAGAGGGCCCAATCATATGTTTCCTCAAACTCCTTCGCACAACCTTGGTTCTAAGAGGTTTGTTTCATTTTCACACCTAAGTATTATTTTGAATTAAAAGGAGTATTCAATCATTTATGTGTTTTTATAAGGGAAGAACACGTATGATTGTAATCTTATCTATTATGTAGCGTTTATATATCTAGCACTTTATAGTTTGATACTTTTATATAAAAATAATATACGAAAGTGTTTTACTTAGTAAATTTGGGTGTATTCTATAAAAATAAAGAGTAAAATATAACTTGTTTCCATGAAATTGGAATTTAGGTCTTTTATATTCTAAAAATTAACATTTTAAGTCATTTATATTTGAATTTATTTTCTATTTCAATCCTTGAGATTTTCCGTTCCTAAAGTTTTAATTTTATTTTTAAATTGATTTGTAAAGTTGGAAATAGTAATATAACCTTTGGTTAGAAATTAATACTTTTAAATTTTTTAAAAAGTGTCTAACATATCTTCATCATTAATATTTTGTTTAAAAAAAAACCTTTAAATTTTTAAGTATTTTAAAAATATCTTTAAAAGTATAAAGAAAAAACTCGTAATACTTTTCAATTTTTTTTCTAATTCAAAAGTACATTTAACATTAGTACTATATTTATATAAAAAAAAAATACCCATTAAATATTAAAAGTAGTATTAACATCCTTGTCCTTTATAAAAAAAAAGTTTTTAAAATTTTTTTACCATTATTATATAGACGAAAATCGTATATTAATACCTCATAGATCATCTCTAAGTGGTTAATGTTACATCCGAAAATTCTTAAATATTTTACTAATAATAATGATATATTTTTTTGTTTTCAATAAGAGCCTTTGTTAAACTTTGAAAGCTTTTTGGAAGTTTATTTTTGAAACATTCTTGTGAAAGTGTAGGAGTATTTTTGAAACAAAATATCAACCATTTTTCATTAATTTTGTAAATGTATTTTTATTTTCTTTTTTAAATTTAGGAATATTTTTTATAATTTATTTTTGAAATTATTGAAATATGTTAATTTTTTTAAGACATAAAATTCAAGAGTATTTTTATTGTCCATCAGTTTAGTTTATTTTAGATAATGAATTATTTTTATTTAATTTTATTTTATTAGGTTAAAATTATTAAAATAATTTTAACTTATTAAAGTTTAATTTTTGTTCCCAGTAATAAATATATTAGAATAATACACCTTTGTTATTTATTTCCCAGTAATAAATATATTAGAATAATACACTTTGTTATTTATTTAGCCATCAATCTTAATAATTAAATAAATTTAATAAAATTATATAATTTTTAATAATAAATAATTAATATAATAATTGAATTGACAAAGTTAATGATACATTTTGGTAAATATTCAATATTTTTTTTTTTAGAAATGAATTAAGTAATTTTTTAAATAAAATCATTATTGATTTATTGAAATAAATAATTAAAATTATTAAATTTATACCTATAGTTAATTAGTTAATTCGATTAAAAATAAAATAAACGTAAGAAAAGACTAGAAAATTCTGTCTAATAATATGAATTTTTTTACTATAACATAAATTTATTACAAAATTTAGCCTCAATTTATAAACTTTTTGTTAAATTAATTCCATTTATTTCAAACTTTAAAATATCTTACAAATATGCACTCACGTATGTAGGGGCATTATGGTCATTTTGTACTTATCCTCGATTTAGCCCCTAAATAAACAACAACAACTATCAATCTTCATATATATGCTTAAAATATCATATGATGCATTCTATTAAAAATTCATGCATAACGAAGATAATTTGATGAGTTATTTTAACGGTATTTGAATCTCAAGCAAACCGCTAGGTTTAGATCCTTGTTTTGCAGTTGTTGGCTTAGTTCTTCCATATTTCTTTAAAAAACTAAGTATAACTTGAGAGCAGTCCAAATCGGTTACTTACCTCATCATTGACGTTTGGGTCCTCGATTCTCGAGAATTCAGTATCCAAATTGCTCCAAATTTTCTTTGAAGGGTCCATCTTTGAGTCTATTTCTTGTCGTGAACTATAGTCAAAGTTATAAAACATGGAGTGTCGCAAAAAAAAAAAATGTTTCTTGCCGAAATAAATCCCTAAAAGCTTCTTATTGATTGGGGCATTCCAGACCACATCAAGCCTTAATTCCTTCGATCTCTTTTTTATCTTACCCTCAAGTTGAAAAAAAATCATTTTAAAAGGATGAATTTGTGTTGATCCTCCTAATTTTGAGTTTATTGGGCAGATATAGATCTCTTCAGTCACGATTTCTTCATGCTATCCTTTAATTTGAGTTTAGAGGACCATGGGTGAAAATTTTGGAGTTTCTTCCAAATTTATCAAAATTAGATTCGATATGAACTTCTTTCGATTACCCTCGATTATAACCTCTTTAGCTCTTGTTGTTTTGGTGAAAATCATCGTTGGCATCTCAAAAAATGGTTGGGATTGATTCGGGGTGATGAACTTGCTTGTAGGCTTGGATTGAAATTTCCAAATTTTCTTCTCGATTGCTTGAAAACTTAAATTAGGAAAAATCATTTTGGTCATTTTGTTCGTTGAATCCTTCATGAAATTTTTTGAGGAACTTATTTAGAAGGGGTAGGAATTGATTTTAGATCAATTGTTGGACTATAGCTCTAAAATTTTAGAGAACTAGAAAGTGGCATCATAAAGTAGAAGCTTGATTCTCTTGATTCAACCACTCTCAAGTTTTCGTTTTTGTCCCAAATGATCATCCACATTTCAATTACTCATTTTAATGTATTTTAATTAAAACCAACATTTGATATCAGAGTTAGGATATTGAAACAAATGTCGTTACCGTACAAAGTTATCGAAAAAAATGTGACGACGATAAAAAGTGGAAAAGAGGGAGTGTAACGCTCCGATACTCATCCACAAAGACTAACTATGCAGCATGACCAATAAATATACATATTGATTTATAGGCGCAAGGCATGTGGGACACCACTAAGCATGGTGATGACGTTGAGGGCAAAAAGAAGCATGAGAGATGCTACAAACAATGCATATGGGTGTGGAACGAGTCAGAAAAACATAGGTGCAGACTTTGAAGAGAGATTTCTCGACTATTCACATGAAAGACGGTGAGTCAATGAAGACAACCTAATTAAATTGAACCCAACAAATTGGTCCAACTCTTTAAACAACCAATTGGTGCGAGCCTGAAGACAGTTCAATTCAGTAAAACCTAATGAATTGGTCTGTGCCTGAAGACAACCAAATTTAGTAAAACCCAACGAATTGGTCTGCGCCTGAACAACCCAATTTAGTAGAACCTAACGAATTAGTCCAAGTCTGTGCGCCTAAAGACAGCCCAATTTAGTAGAACCCAACAGATTGATCTGAAGACAACCCAATGCTGTAGAATCCAACGAATTGGTCCGGGCTTTAAGACAACCCAATTCAATTGACTCCAACTCATTGATCTAGGCCAGAAGATAGGTCGATTCAATAGAACCCAATGAATTGGTCCAGCCTAAAGACAGCCCAATTCAATAGAACCCAACGAATTTGGTTGGTCAAGGCCTGAAGACAGCCCAATTAAGTAGAACTCGACGAATTGGTTCCAGCCTGGAGCCCAATTCAGTAGAACCCGATAAATTGGTCCAGGGGTGAACTCAATTCGGTAGAACCCAGCGAATTGGTCCAGACCTAAAAACAGCCATGAAACCCAATGAATTGGTTCTGGCCACAAGACAACAATTGTGTTTCAACCATGTGAATTGGTCCTAGCATCCAAAGCCCATGAGCTTTGATTTTATAGTCCAATACATGAGAAGACACAACCCATGTCCCATATTGTGTCAACATTAACAATAAAGACATTTTTTGTCATTTTACAGAATATATTGATTTAAAGGCACCTATCCTTGACAAGCAGTTTAGAACATAGGCTAACATTACAATACATTAGGCTAACATTATTTTTAAAAAAAAAATCTATTTGATAGTATAAATAGTAGCAAATTTATCAAAATTAGATCGGATATGAACTTCTTTCGATTACCCTCTTTAGCTTTTGTTGTTTTGGTGAAAAATCATCATTGGCATCTCAAAAAATGGTTGGGATTGATTCGGGGTGATGAACTTGCTTGTAGGCTTGGATTGAAATTTCCAAATTTTCTTCTCGACTTCTATGAAAGCTTAAATTAAGAAAAATCATTTTGGTCATTTTGTCCCTTGAATCCTTCATGGAACTTCTTGAGGAACTTATTTAGAAGGTGTAGGAATTGATTTTAGATCAATTGTTGGACTGTAGCTCTAAAATTTTAGAGAACTCGAAAGTGGCATAGCCATAAAGTAGAAGCTTGATTCTCTTGATTCAACCACTCTCAAGCTTTCGTTTTTGTCCCAAATGATCATCCACATTTCAATTACTCATTTTAATGTATTTTAATTAAAACCAACATTTGATATCAAAATCAGGATATTGAAACAAATATCGTCACTGTACAAAGTTACCGAAAAAGATGTGACGACGATAAAAAGTGGAAAAGAGGGAGTGTAATTGATATGAACCAAGAGACATCAATCATACAATATACTTCAATGAAGATGTAAAGAAAATGTTGACAAAATTATCCAAAAATGTTACAATTCATGCCACATTAAAGAGGAATGAAGTTTGATGGTTATAAATTTTTGGTAGGTTACAATTTAGAGTTATTGTATTTCATTATTGTATTTCATTATTTTATTTTAAGACTTTTAATTTACATAATGGCCATTAAGTACAAATGTTACCACTCTTGGAATGTCTTTAGTTGTTTCATTTTGAGGCTATATAAAGCCATGTATGTTGTATTTGTAAGCAGACTTGGAAAATATATTAAAAGAAGCATCTGTGCTCTTCTTTAGCCAATGACTAAGTTTCTTTGCAATTCTATGTAGTTTAGGTTGCAT